AGGTGCTGCGTAAAAGGCTCACTGTTGGAAGTCAATGAAAGGTTAATCAAGCAACCAGAATTGCTCAACACATCAGTAAGTGATCATTGTCAACGTTTATTGGTTAGGTTTAGAACCTTTTGCTTCCATGCATCTTTTGGAAAGTTTGGAAACTGATTTCTGTGGATTAGAAAGTGCAATACATTAGTGAAGAAGGCAGAACCTATATAACTATTTACTAAGCATGAATATTATCAATCCTTGTTTTAAATTGGAATGAACAATGTCGAACATTGATGCTGGGGAGAAATTGATGTCTTTACTGACATTCCGCTGAGAATATACTGTACTCTTTTTTCTATGCAGAAAATGTTTAAATGCTAAAATTTTCATCGTGTACACACACACACAGTTGTTTTGGGTAGGGTAAGGGCAGGTACAGGTTATTTCTAGAATCTAGACTGTAATACAAGTTAAGATATGGTTCTTTGTGTTTGGGGTTTGATGATGAATAAATAATGACTAGTCTTTAACTTATATAGGATTATAAATCTTTAAGAAAAAATTATATTCTGAAATGTAAATGTATGTGAAATTGGTCCACCTTTACAGTTAGCTCTCTTGAAGCTTGTTTTTGTTCCGCTGTCATATTACATACACCCACAATCGCCAATTTATCTTCAAATTGAGCCATTATATTAAATCCCTTGCGGCTGAACTTGCATTATCTCTTATTGTAGCCAGAAAGAGAGGGATACATTGCAATTATCATGCCAAAGCCTGCTGATTGGCTCAAGTCAAAGGCTTCCTTGCTGGACTCTGAACAATATAAGAAGTCAAGAACGGAGCTGTGACTTGGATTAATTTGTGCTAGAAATGGCAGCTTCTGTTGAGGAGAAGACATTATACTGATTCATTAGCCATTTGTTATCATGTTTTCCTGTTTTAGGAATTTTAAATGCGTTAATGTTGATCATATTCAGTTTATCGCCAAGTGAAAAGAATAGGCTAAGTTTGGACAAAACTTCTGCTGTCTGCAGTAAGCACCGCCAGCCCGTATGTTGAAGCATTTCATTTAAAGGATCTGATAAAACTTTTATATACGTCGAAGTCTCTGGTCTAAAATGCTCTACTAATATCATGCTTTGAGTGCTATAAAGTGATAGAATGAAACTTTTAGGCCACCTAACTGTGGAAGACTGAAAGACTGATATAAAACACTATACAATATTAAAGATTATCATGACTGAATAGCCAACACATGTCTTCATTGTTTTATCTTGAATGGTTCTGTATCATACTCTTCTTCAAGTACTCTGTTTCACTGACCAACTTTCTTTGATATTTACTACTTTTTTCACCTCAAATTTTTGTAATTTATCCGTCTGCATTTATTTTAATTTTGGTTATATGATGTGCATATGTAAAACTTTTAGTTTCAATTATACGAGTATAATGGTTAGTTTGGTTAATGTGTGAGATGTTGATTAGCTGAGTTCTACCAAATTTGTTCGCATATGCGTAGACGCAGACACCTTATTGATTACGCGATCACTGGCAATCACCGGATATCCAAACTTATTATATTCATAAAGACAAACAATTGAGTTTTTTGATGTAAAAATAAACAATATGCTTCCCATTCTCTTTGTTGCTCTTTAGTAGGGGCATATAATGTTAATCTCAGTTTTCATTCTGTTAAATAAAACATATTTTGTTTTATGGGCTCCACCTTTATTATCTCAGCTGTATCTGAGACGAGTTAATTCGTGTGCAAACAACATATTCCATCTTGCTCCTGTTTTTCTTGAGATAATATTGTGTTTATACATTTGCTGTGTTGTTTTCCTTGTTTATATTCCATTTTGCTTGCATGTGACGTGGAGGATGAATGAAATTTGAAACTTTCTACTTTATATACTGCAATCCCCATGGAGCTGTAGAATCTGTTCGGGCATTTCAGGAAGTGAAATAAGCTCGTTCACGGATTTGAAACTTTCTACTTTATATACTGCAATCACCAAAATGTTGGGACTGCATATATCTCATTTTGTTTCAAAAACTCATATTCAACTGGTATATATGAGTAGCATAAATATTTGGTTTATAACTGAAATTATAAGCTTTGTTATATTCCCGTAAGATCACAGAAATTCGCCTTAATAAACTCACCTCACCACCCTCCATGTTTTACCCAAATAGAAAAAAAGAAATTAGTTGCTAGGAATGAATTCCTGTACTGGGAGTCTGAGGCCACAAAGTATACCACATTTTCCGAAACCATTAATCTCTGCAAAACTATTCAAAGAAAGGGGGAAAGAAAACNACTTTACATCCCTTTATCCACAGTATGTATCAACAAACAAACAGGAGACCAACTCACTTCCCTCAAATTCAAGAATACACTATTCTTTCCAATTAAAAAGACGAAATCAGATTCAGCTTCAGGGCTGGGGTTGAAAAACTGCCTGCCGCCTGTGCCCTAACTCGATCTCCTCGGGCTGCCGCCCCTGACCATCCGGGCTCCCGATCATCGCATCCCCTAGCACCTCCATTCCCACATACTGCTGCACAACAAGCACCGAGTACGTGGCCGCAAAGTCCGACGACGCCAGCAGATCCCCAATCGCCCCAAGCTCCGGGCACTCGCTCCAGTCCGTCAGCCCTGCCATCACCGGCGTCACCATCCCCTGCCCCCTCCCCACCACAAACAAGTCATGGCTCGTGTCCATCGACCTTATAGCTGCCACCGTCTCCTCCCCGTGGTTCACCACTCTCTCCACGTACACCACCGACCCATCCCCCGCCGTCCTCGCCCTGAACTCACTTATATAGTCCTCATCCAGCTGTCGCTCTCTGTCCCCATCCGTCACCACTGTCATCCTCTCCCTCCCGCTCGTGTTCCTCGCCGCCGGCGCTTCGGAAGTTGTCTCCAAGGTATTGTCGCCGGGGACAAAGCGCATGACACTGAGGCCGACTCCCGGGTGCTCCGACATTCGCCACGCGATCGCCAGAGCCTCGCGGTCGTCGGGCCCTCCGAAGAAGAGGACGGCGACGTGGTGCGAGGCGTGTCCCGGGCTTAGTCGAGCCCCGGAGAGCCCTCGGTCGACGAGGATGGCCACAGAGCACGGGGCGTGGGCGAGGACGTTCTGGTTGACGGAGCGGAAGGCCGGGTTCGTGGCCTCCATCCCGCCGTCGACCGTCTGTTGCTTGTGGAAGGGGATTATTACGAGGGAGACGCGCTTGTCCTCGGCCACGTTGCGGATGTCCTCGTGCATGGTCGAGTAAGGGGAGACGGCCGTGAGGGGATGAACAGAGACGAACGCGGCCTGCTGCTCGAAGTTCTCGAACGCGTTGATAATGTGGTCCGACTGTGCCTGGGTGCGGTTGAGGGCGGGCCGACCCGACTTCCGAGTGTTGTGGACAATGAGCATGGCGGAGGCGCGGCCCGTGAGCTCCACAAGGTGGAGCACGTAGGCGCAGATCGGGGAGCGTTTGTTAGGGTTGGACGCTTCGAGGAGGCCGATGATGGTGGGGACGTTGCGAGGGGTGTGCACGCACACCAGCATGCACACCTCCCCGTCGGGCTTGGCCTGCTGGATCGTGCGCCGTTTGTACGGCGCGAACTTGCGCGCGGGCTTGTAGATGTTGGTCACGATGGGCGAGATGATCGAAGTCATTACGATGGCCACGATCACCATGATCGAAAACGACTTGTCGTCTAGAACCTTCTGGTCCTTGCCGACGTTGAGAACGATCATCTCGACGAGGCCTTTGGTGTTCATGAGCAAACCGAGAGTGAGTCCCTCGTAAAACGGGATCTTGTAATAGAGGGACACGAGGAGCGTCCCGGCGACCTTCCCCGCGCAGGCGAGGACGATGACGATGCCGAGAACCACCCACGTCGCGACCCCTTTTATCGACCCGATGTTGGTCTTGAGACCGCTTATGGCAAAGAAGAGGGGCAACAACAAGCCCGACACAAAGTCCTCGAGCCTCTCGATAAGGGTCACCCCTAGCGGCCCGTTGGGGATGATGAGTCCGAAGACAAACGCACCGAAAACGGAGTGCGTCCCGATGGCATCGGTCACGAACCCAGAGATCATGACCCCCGTGAGGATGAGGCATATGCAGAACTCGCTAATAGGCTCCCCCTCGGGCGTGCGTTGTATCATCCACGAGATGATTGGGCGGACGACGTAGACGTTGAACACCACGAAGAGAGTACTCGAGAGGATGACCCAAATCGATGCAAGCGACATGGCCTCGTTCTCGGCAAGGGCGATGGCAAAGGCGAGAAGGATCCACGCGCACACGTCGTTGATCAGTGCGGCCGACATGGCCACGCGCCCGATGTCGGTGTTGAGGAGCTTGAGCTCGGCCAGGATGCGCGCCAGCACGGGGAAGGCCGTCACGGAGAGGGCCACTCCAAGGAAGAGGATAAAGGTGCCGAGCCTAACGAACTCGGTGCTCTGGTGGAGCATGAAGGCGAACGAGACGCCTATGAGGAAAGGGAGGACCATGCCGGCAATGGCGATCACGATGGCCCGTTTTCCGGTCCGCTTGATGACGGCGATGTCCATCTCCACCCCAACAAGGAAAAGGAAGTAAAGGAGACCCACGTTAGCCATTGTCTCGAGGATCATCACGCTACGGAGAGGGAAAACAGTGTTGGCAAACTTTCTGCTCTGCCCGAGCACGGACGGGCCTAGGATTATGCCACCCTACGCCAAAGTTTGTTCAACTTTTAATTATCTTTATCCTTTTTAAAGAGAAATACAATGAAGAGAGAGAGAGAGAGAAAGGGAGAATTGAGGAGTTACGAGGATCTCGGAAATGACGCGAGGCTGTCTGAGGGGCTTGAGGGCGATAACGAGTAGACGAGTGGTGACGACGACAAGGGTAAGCTGCAGAATGAAGAGTGGCAATGAGTAGTCCAAAGGGTTGTCCCCTTGCCATATGCCGTTTGTGGTTATCATGGTGGGGGCGTAGCATACGATCGTCTGATCGGTTTTGTTGACGCCGGCGGACAATGCCGCATCCGACATTTTGCCTACGTAGATTAAAACAAACGCAGGGTGTTTTTTNTGTTTTTAGTTTTTACCTTACTACAAATCAGATTCTTTTGTTGTACGTCATGAATTACATATGATTTTTCCTTTTTCTCGTCAATTGTCGTTGTGTTGTCACGGCCTTTGTTGCCATCGTTCCTTGGAGAATGCGAATCGGAAATGAAAATTGAAAAACAGTTTTGTTAGTTCTTTCTTCCTTTATTTTTAGGTGTTGACTTGGGAAATTATGGTTAGTTTTGAACGGTGGACCGCTGCACGAGGGTATTTACTACAGTAAAATCTTGTATGGAGGAGACTTGTTTGTGGATTTTCCATATTTAGAAACTAAGCATCTTCGGTGTGTAACTGTCCACACTTAAAAATAGTTTCCACATGACATAACATGAATATTGGAACTGTCAATATGAAATTATTTGAAAAGAGACTTTATAAGTTCCAATACATTATTTTTGTATTCGATGTCTTGACCATCTAAATTACCAAATCACTAAATTTTAGTTCGGTTTTCAACAACTATTGTGATAGTTGATTGACTTGGTTTTATTATATCATCTCATCAACATAAATTTATTCAAAAAAAAAAAAGATTAAAAAAATAGCAAATTTATTTTGCATTGAGCATTATAAATACCATGTCTATAAAAGAATACAACTTTATTTTTAACGCGTGATTACATCAAAATTCAAAGGTAATTCATGTAATCAATATTATTATTTTTAATTAAATTAAAATCACGAATGCATGCCATCACAATGTTTGTTCACTCCACATTATTGAATTTTTAATTCAATAAAAAAGATTTTGTTGTGCCCTGTAGGTAGGATCAAAATCACGAGTGCATGCCATCACAATTTTTGTTCACTCCACATTATTGAATTTTTAATTCAATAAAAAACTTTTTCGTTGTGCCTTGTAGGTAGGATCAAATGTACATAGTATGATATAATTTATGCTAAATAAGAGTAATAGATAAAAAAATATGAAATTAATTTATTAATTTTTTATTTCAGTTTGTTCAATCAAATATTATCATTCTATGATACTAATTAATTATTTTTGTTACTTTTTGTACATTGA